GTTACATGCCATGACATGAAGTCATGTATATTTTAGAAAGTAATACAAAGTGTGAAAAAGTATTAAGTACTTAAAAGTACTATAAACAACAGAATTTTCTGCTTCGATTGACTTGAGTTAAGGTTTTAGGAGACCTCTAGCCACGTCCTCCTTCGTTTCCACGTTCTCGGTTTCCTCGACCACGAACTGTTGGTTGCCATTGCATCTCCTTCGCTTTTGTTGATGGTTTAACGGGCCTTTCGCGAAGCATTCTTTTACTTGAAGGTGTCATAAGATCCATACGATCGCACTTTTTGTCTGAATCTGAGGGATCCTCATTTTTTTCCAAAGTACTCAATGATGCAAACTTATTTGAACCAAGATCATGTTTAGAAATTGCTCCACTTTCCTTGTGTATTGAAGAATGTGCAAGAGCAATAGTAGGGGTGATGACTAATAAAGCCACATCAGTCTCCCTTAAAAGGAGACACAAGTCTTGCTGGCACCGTGGCTTCTATTGGATGTGTTGAAGATTCAATCACATTCTCTGTTGCTAAAGCTGGACTTAGTGCACCTCTATCTTCAATGATAGAAGATGTAGTTGGATCAACAATTGTTGATTCCTTGATTGGAAGGACCAGATTGTTAGAAGTAGGTACCTCTTGACTTGTGGCAAGAACTGAAGTGTTCGTGACAGATTTTGTAACACTAATAACCTCGCTGTCAATAACCGTTTCAACAGTTGAGTCAACAACAACTTGGGGATCATTTAGTCCTTGTAAGCAACGCTTGATCTTGTGTCCTAACTGTCCACACCTATTGCATTTAGAAGGCAACCAAGCGTATTCTACATCAACCATAGAAATAAAGCCGTTTTCATCACTAGCAGCAATTCTTATCGGAAAAGCTTTGCTCAATTCAACCTCAACCAAAATTTTGGCTTCACCCATGAGTATGGGATCTAATCTAGGTTTATGAGTTGCCATAGGAGCACATAAAACCGAAGATATATGACTGATTCTGGGGATAAAGTACAGAATGTTGGGTATTTTCTTTAAGGTTACCCAAACCGGAATAGTTTTGATCTCTGGGATAGTTAAGGATGTTGTTGGAGTCCAAGGAGCGACAAACATCAAACAATCATCAACATGCCAAAGTCCTCGTTGGAGAACCCACTTCCTAGTTGATTCATCATGTATATGGAAGAGATAATTCGATTCACCAAGTTTCCTAATGGTGATTTTGCAATTTCTACCCCATAACTAATTGAAAACAGCATAGATCAGACCTCCAGGAGGAGGGGAACATCTATAAAACTGGCCTAACACATACTCTTTCTGGTTTTCTAGTCCTTGTAACAACACATGTTGTGGAATAGTTACCTTTGGAGTCCCATCTTCTAGATATTCCGGCTCAATTGCCCTGTAGAGGTTCCTTGAAGCTGGATTCATCCAAGAGAATCGAAGATCATCCTCCATGGATGCTAGTTTTTGTATAGGTCTTTGTGTATTCTGCAGTTTACGACCATGGTGACATGCATTATTGTTAGCGACACACAGAAGGCCACATTGAGGTCACTGTCATCGATATATATGTTAAGTAGTTCATATCATTTTGTTGATCTACGTCGTATTATGTCGTCAAAGTTCAAATTATCCAATTACGATTTGAGTACCATTTTGAACGGCGCTTACATGCATGAAAAAGAGTATCCGATACACAATATATCCAAAACTAGTTTAGACTTTCATACGAATCTTCCAATATTATTGTAAAAGTCATTAACGTAGATTACACAACATTTAGATGTTTAAAAAAAAAATACTGGAATGGTTGGTTGGTTGGCTGATATCACATTTAATGCATTTCCTATTCAATTCGACAGCATTTTTCAAATTCTTGTAATTAGTATAGTTTTGCCTCTTTATAGGATTCCTTCACTATTTTTTATAGTCTTATTTTATCCAGGGAGAATAGTTGACTGTCTTGGCTATTTATTTAAGTTGTCAAAATTTTCTTTTATAATATGACTGCTGGTAAATTTTGTATAAATCAAACTTTCTGTTTGTTTTAGTTTTTGTATCATTAGTCAGTAATAAATATAACTTAGGAGAGAATCAAAGTTGAAAATATATTCTCTTTCTTCCATTCCATATATAATTATTTCTTGTATGTATACATTTTCAAAAAATTTGGTTTTTTTTTTTTTTATAATTCAGGGTAAATCCTAGACCTATGACCCAGACTAATGTCTAAGGGAGGTACAGCCTATAGATAGATTTTCTCTCCAGATATGCAAATGGACCGAAGCAAATGTCCATATCCATGTGGGTGTACAAGACAATATAATTTAGTTTCGCGCAACAGGTGGATCGAACTTGGAACGTGTTGGAGTCTCAGTCCTCTTTCCTTACCAATTGACCAAATTGTTCCGGTTTTGTTTAGTGACAAACTTTTGTTAGATTTGATTATGCCGAAATCCGGCATAAGCTAGTTCTACCTAATAGTTTTTTTTTTCTTCTTTCCTTTTGGTACAAAGAGTTCGATATAAGTCCCGACAAACAAACAAACATAACTTAACTATAATTAGAGCTAATTTAAATTTCGCCATATGCATGTTTTCGAGTGTAACGACAAAAAATTAGTAACTTTTATAAGATTTTTTTTATAGCCACTACGTTGAAATTTAATTTATTGTTTGTATTTACAGGTCTAGATTTTGGTGAAATATGGTTGAAAGAAATAAAGGAATTGGCCTTTAAAAAACAGTTGAAATTATAAAATATAACTACTGCATTAGATGTGTCTCTGTGCATGGGTTAGATGTGTTGGACCCCTGTATTGGGACATTTGTCAAAATTGATGGTTTTATTATGTAAAAACGATCATTTTAATACATAATTATCCGTTTTGAGCCAATATAACTACCAACTTTCTAACAAATCA